GACCTATCTCAAATCACCTTCTCTGCATGAAACACCCAAATCCCCAAACAGAATTATTCATTCCTTCTTCTGTGCTCCCACAGCACTTTCCACTTACCATTTTAATACTTACTATAATGCGTTATATTAATTATAGGAGGCAGTATAAGAGTAACGGCTAACAAGAGAAACTCTAGCATTAAAATAGGTTTGGATTCAACACCCAATCTTCCAACTAGAGGCTATATGGCTTTAGGTACGTTGGCTTCCTTCTCTAGGACTTAGTCTTCTCATTAGTAAAATTGGGATAATACCTGAGTCTAGCTCAAAGTGATATTGTGAGTGCTTTCAGCATACCCACCTGGGGCTAGCAAATATTCAAATGGACAGCAGCAGAGCTGGGATGAGGACAATCACAATTATCTGTCTCAAGCTGGAGGGGGGTGTAGGGCCTTCCCCACCAAGAGGAAGGACCATGTTTAAAGTCATCCCCACAGGATGAAAAAAAAGAGAAGTACATACACCAAAATGTTTCATTACCTTTGGGTGATGGGATTACAAGCAATGTCTGTTCTGTTTTTGCGTGTGTGTGCTTTTCTGCACTGTGTATATACAGTGCAGAAATACACAACTTATTAAGAAAAATGTTATATGTGCTGAAAAGATCTGATCCATCACCTAGAAGCAGCATCTAGCACAAAGTTAATGTCCTATAAATATCTACTAAATGAAGGAATTTCTACACTGTGTTCGGTTTTGCAAGCATGTTTATATGCATTTATTGCTTTGCTTCTCATAATCACTTCCTATAGGGCATATTATTATTATTATACCTAGAAAATGAGACTGAGTTCAGAAATAACAAAACAGGGACTGGGCTGGAACTTAAAACCAAAACTTCTAACTTTCCAAATTCAGAGTTTTCTTACTACACTAGTAAGCACTAAAAGTGGACTCCTACTCACATTGCCATCAGAAAGCTGAATCACTTGTACACTGTTTGAGAGGGGGCAAGCAAAGAATAAAGAAATGCAACTTTTTTTAAAGTTTCATGAATCCTTTCAAACCATGGGGAAAAAACCTGAGTACAATATATCTATTTGTTTAATCATTACTTTACTTCTGTAAAACAAATAACTCACTGTCTCTATTTTATAGATGAGTAAACTAAAAACACAGAAGTTAAATAACTTGCCTAAGATCACACAATTAGTAAAGCAGCAGATCCAGACAGGTTTCAAAACCAGGCAGTTTTGAAAAAGTAAGATAAGGGGTAAGGTCAAATAAGTTTTAAAAAAATAAGGTCAAGGAGTTAAAAAAAACAAAAACTTGGAAAAGGTAATGATATAATTTATCTCAATTCAAAGGATCAATAAGCCTTCACCTATGGGACAAATAAAAGCATGTTCTTGATTATTTGAAATTCTAATAATTACAAGCAGTTTTCTCTTATCAAATACCATTGTAAACCTATATTATTAACGTTGTTTTAACAAATATATTCGGCTTTCAACTACAGGAACTTTACAGCACTATTCTACAATAAGTGCTTCTTAACTATGTAAAACAAAAAGGCTAAGGCATTAGTGATTTTTGTTTTTTAGCAAATAGCACATATAAAAATACACCATCTCCCAAAATGACAACTCCAGCAAAAGACCACTACCAAGGGAGTTCTCCTCTTTGCTAGCTACAATTTACAATCACATAGGGACCTTTTAAAAAACCAATACACAGCACCCACTCCAGACCAATTAAATGAGAATATCTGGGGGTGGGTAAAAGTGTTTTTAAAAGCTCCCCAAGTGATTCTAATGTGGACCCAGGGTTGAGAACCACTGTTTTAAGGAAATCTAAACCGTCTGTTATTACTTCATCCAGAGCTTTTGTCCATAATGGTGTGGAAAAGATTTCAGTCAACTTATTCAGCCAATTTGCAAACAACCAGGAGAGTAAGATAAATAGGATCCCTCAACTACTAAAAGGGGTATAAATTGTAAGTGCACTTAGCCCAGATTAGACAAAAATCGAGGCAAAAGGATTCCATTAGTGTTCTGGATAATAGAATAACTTCAATTAACATATCAAATATGCCAATGACCAAGCTACTTTTATTTCGCAAACCCTAGATCTTACCATCTGTGAAATGGTGCCATGCTAATGGACTCAAGAGCCCAATAATTCCAGAAAAGCAACAATGAAACAACTAAACCTTGAAACTAAAAGACCCACATGTATCATCTTTTTAAAAAAACTAAACAAAGATTACTTACACTGGACTTTAAAAATGTATACTTACTGGCAAAGAAAACTTTTTCATGGTTTCCTACAGAGAATATCTCTGAAAAGTCAAGACTGCCATAAGAACTCTGAAATTCAAACTCCTACGCTGACATTTTTGTATTTGGTTACTTAGAGTTTCACAGGAAAATGAAATAAAATAAGCTTCAAAATCAAGTATTAAAATACCTGTTGTGTTAATCAAAAATACTACTACAGGTCCACATCCTTTATTCAAAACCCTTGAGGAAATATGTATTTCAGAATTGTTAAGATTTCAGAAAGACAGTACAGTGTCTCTACCTTTACAAGCCCTCAAGGGTCTAAAACAGCACGAATAATCAAATTAATATTCCAAATTAATATGCCATATTAATGACTATTTTCTAAGTGAGAAGAATCAAGATTTTAAGTAGCCTCCTGTTGACACAAGTCACTAAATTATTTTGCTGCAAACATTCTGAAAAAAAGAAACCTTTTTCAGAGCTTTGGGTGAACCTCTTAATTCTAAGATTTCTCTTTGATATTCAAGACATTGCAAACTGAACTTCAGAAAAAAGTCATTATGATAAAAACATCCTTTTAATAGCACTGTAATCCTAAAGAAACAACTCTATTATGGTAGATACACAAAAATAGTCCAAGTCCACCAATTTTCATGATGATTAGAATAGCATTTAAGTGTCCACCTTAATTTTCACAGTGCAATTGTGAGCAAAACCAAACAAATACATCAACACATGCACACTTACTAAGGCAAGCCTGAAGCAGAGAGCCAGATGTAAAATAGGGGCAAATCAACACCTTTCTATCTGGCAATATGGAGACAAGAGAGGACTTTAAACTAAGCAGACTGGGCTCCACCACGAAGAAGAAAGTTACTTAAGCTCTCTAAACTCCAGTTTCTTCACATAAGGATAGAGATAATAATAATAGGACCTACTCCAATGTGTTTTAAGAGGATTAAATAAAGTGACATTTGAAGGCCATAACTTACAGTCACTATTAATTCCCTACCACTTTTCCAAAGACCAACTATATGCTGAAGGAGCTCAAGTATAACTTGCCTGTAAGTTATCAGGCAAATTTCATAATTTCATAAATAAAACCCACCACAAAAATAGGACTTTCAAATTTCAGAAATCCAGTGTAGATTAAAATGACTAATCTCCCAAACCAGCAGCTTCTCGTAACACATCCTAACGAAACCTACCTACTCTCCCAATACCCTTTTGTCTTCCACACAACCAGATGCACACACAAAGGTTAAGTGAAAATAAGCTACTATACTGAAAAATGCATTTTTAATTCAAAATAAAATTATTAGAATGGCCTAGGTTTTGCAGATAAGGGAAACCATTACTATATTAAGACTTAATCATTTATGTACAACCACTGTCCAAAGAACCCATTTAAATTTAAATACACTTAGGAAAAGAAGGCACAAGAGTCCAAAATCCAATTTTCATAAACTATCCCCTGAATAAGAAAACTGGTAACTTTGGGCAGATTTCTGCACCTAATGGATATTTAAACTATCAAATGTACTAAAAAATGGAATCCTTTGTTATTTATCCTAAACTCAATTTAATTCCATTATGTAACTCAAGAATTTTACAGGGCATTTGAGTCAGTCTTAAAGCATAACAAGTTCTGAGCTGATTCGGTGCTTCACTGTTAACAATCTACCCCAAACAGAATATATAACCTGGACAACCTAGACTTCCACCACACCCAACTTCAGAGAAGATGTTTAACCAAGTTAGCATACCTCCTGTGAAACAGAAAGCTTTCCCTAAATGTTAATACTCAAAACCTACTAGTTACTGTTAAATAACCTATTAGGGCCTGGCAGTTCCATCAGCTTTAAGATTATCACTGGTCATATAACCTAGTACAGTGCAACATAAAATGCCTCGAAAAGAATCTATATTACTTTGTGTTCTAATCCCACGTGTTTAATGTGAAAAGATGTAGAACTAAAAGCGAATGGACCAGCTACCTAACAACTACCTACTAGACTTAATCCTTCATACTTGCACTTTTTCCGCCATAAACAGGAAACTCCAAAGAAAAGGAAATAGAGAACAGCCTATTGTTGCTAAGGGGAATAACTGCATTGCTTCCAACCCCACCGTGTTAGTGAACAAATGAAAAAGCAACAGGGGAAAGGGACGGAGGGAGGGGCGATTGGCGAGCTCAGTTGGGAGTCCAAAGCATGCCACCCAGCTCAGACGGTGCCCAAAACATCTGGAGCGCCAGCTGCAAGAGGGAAACAGGGGTGTGAGGGAAGAGGACCCTGGCCAAGGGGCTCAGGAGTTGTGCCTGCACATTCGGCTTCCTCCTTTGCCAACTCTTCTCTCACCTCCCAATTCCCATCCTCCCCATCCCATCCTAGTCCCTCCATATAGAAAAATAACCAATAAAATCAGAGGCAGAGAAGACAAAGAGGCAGGAGGAGGCTGCAAGGAGCGCCCAGAACAATGGGTGAGAAGGAGCGAAGCGAAACTCCTGAAAAAGACAATGAAACGGGGGATGGAGAGGAGCTCTGAGAGGAACCGAGGGAAACACCGCCGAGCCGGGCCCCGCCAGCAGCGGACGCCTGGACGCTAGGCTCGGCCGGGCTTGATGATCACCCCGACGCTGGGGGCTGGGCTGGGCTGGGCTGGGCGGGGGCGGCGCGGCCCAGAAGGGCCGGCGGGGCCTGCGCGGGTCCGCGGGCAGCTGCCGGCAAGACTCACCGGCATTCTGGTCTCGGGGCCAGAGGTAGTATGTGGCCGGGATCACGATAAGCCCCACGAATGAGGTGAGGAAGTAGAAGAAGGTGTTCCCGCTGTCATCGTACTGGAACTGCTGTCCCGCCATGGCACCCCCCCCTCCGCCTCGCTCTTCTCACCACCGCCGCCACGACCCCGCTCTTGGCTCCAGCACCCAGCACCCCGGCCCTGTGTGGCGTAGCTCGGACGCTGCCGCCGCCTCTCCTCCCCGCCCCCACGCTACTCTCAGGGACACGCCGCTGCCACCGCCGCTGCCGTCGCCAACTCTCGCGAGAAGAGGTAGTTCCCGCCCCGTTCGGTTTTTCCCTCCCTCTGACTCTCCCCTGCACACTGGCTAAGGGAGACGTGGCGCGCGCAGCCGTGGAACTCTGAGAGGTCCCGCCCTTGATCCCGCCCCTAAGCCACAGCCCCTCCCCTCGCGCTTCTGTAGATCTTCCCCTAGAGCTCCGCCCCTAGCCTTAGAGTTCACCCGCTCTCCCCGCCCTTTTTCCTCCTGCTCCTTTCCCAGCGTCCCACCAGGGTCTCGGTGGGTCACTTTAGGGGCTCCCAGCGAAGACCCGCGGAACAGTGGGTGCGCGCGGTTCACCTGGCTGCTCCTGGAGCCGCAGCTTTTCTGAAGAGAACTGAGGCTTCCTCGCTAATCCCTTCTCCCATCCTTACCTCACCTTGTCTGCCCTCTCGCTTATTTAATTTCCCTGGTTGATAATAACATTTCTTTAGGTTCCAGATCCGTTCCTCCAGATCGCACATTTTGAAAACAAGGGTCATTCAGAATTGGGCGGCGCAGGTGGGGGAGGGGGTTGTTGTGGTTTGTTTGCAAAGTAATGTTTGCTACCAAGAGACTGCGATCTACACTGCGCCCATTTTGCAGATGGAGATTCCCCAAGCCATTAGAGACAGTGATCTCTCCATCCCAGAGGCAATACTTTTAGACACCAGGTCACCAGTGTTTTCTTCGACCCAGGCAGTAGTCTAATTAAGACCTTTATTGCTTTATATCATTTAATCGTCAGTAAGCCCCTGGGAATAAATCAAAGCATGCTGGCTCTCCAGGTGAGGAAATTGAGGGTCAGAGAGATTGCCTGAAGTCATGCACAGTAAAGAAAGGTCTGGGGATTCAAACTCAGATCACTCTGATGCCACAAAGCCGGTGCCTTTGGCCACCACCTCGTCGTGGACCTTAACATTTCCCTCAGGGCGGCTGGCTCTCCTTGCAAGGTGTGGGCATGATAATGTGCTACTAAAGGGACGGCTAGGGAAGCAGTTGCTCTCAGGAGCCTCTCTCTTGGCTGCCTCTGAGGTCTCAGAGGCCAGAGGCAGCTGAGCTGGGAGCCGGAGGACTGGTGCCCTGATCTGGGAATGACCCCACGGTCGGTCGCACTGCAGCCCCGCCTGTGGCCTATCCCAGTGTCTCCATCTCGCCTCTATGGATCAAGAGGAAAGACCCACCCGAACTACCTCTCGGAGTGGTTGTGAAGACTAAAGTGAATTATAGTGAAAATGCTTTGAAAAAATGTAATAAGAAAATACCACACATCACACTATTTTTTTAAAACACGTTTTAAGACTACAGTCTATTTACTAACTTTCTTTCAATATGCCTTCCATTGTTGGAAGAGAAATCTGGTCACATCTCTTTTATTTTATGTCCTCAAAACTAGCATTTATCATAATCGGTAAAGCTTTTCTTCATAATGGATTATTTTCACATGTATTTTCTCTTCCCTTTCAAGTGTCCTACCTACCCATTTTGAAAGGAAATTTTTAAAAGTCGTCTTCTCTGCATTTCCCTCCTCACTTTTTTCTATATAAAGTTTTCAAAGGCTGTATTAGAGGTGAAAAAATAAAAGAGAAGTGAGGGCAAGAGGATTGAACTATGAAGTCAGCACCACATTCTGATTACCCCAACGCGGATATGCACAGAACAATTTGCCTTGCTTCAGAAACAAATTAGCCATAAAATTGCCTCAACTGAAGTGGGTGGGTTCCTGAAGTTTCTTTTGTTTATGTTGAATTTGTTATTAAGTCTTCTCAGGTTTTAATAATGCTGTACAGGTTATTTTTTATTACTCCGATTATGTATTTTCCTCAGCATTTGTGCAAATACATCAGTTTTATAACCTTGTGACAATAGAAATTATTGATGAAAAATATTCTTCTGACTTTTTTCCTGCAGGAATAATCTTTTCACTGCAGCTTTGGGTTCATGCATAAGAGTGGCTTGAACAGAACCGAACCATAAAATAATATTTTGAACAAATCGTATTTATTTGCTAACCTCCAGACCAATCTAAAACATGACTTTGTTTAAGCAGATTAAAGAATGTGAAGGCAGTTGTTGGAAAGATATTAGGGCTTGATTATGCTCAACTCTGAAATCATGAAAACAACTTTAAAGAGAGATTGAGGGCTGTGGTTTGTCCTTTAGTATTGGGAACAGGTCTATATTTTGGCTCCTCTCTTTTCATAGGTATCTTCTGTTTTTAAAGATATAAAGACGTTTTATCCTAGAACTTAAGGTTACTGAACATAAATAAACTCGGATCACCCAAATATTCTCCAAGGCAAATCTGAACTATACCTTTAATTAATCACAATTTCTAATTCAGTGGTATTTTTAAATTAACACAATGGTTTCTCTCAAGAGATCATTTTAATGAAATATTTAGTAATAGTAAGTGAATATGGTAGAACCAGATCTACAAACACATTTTGTTCTTAATCTAACAGCATGTTTTAAAGGGCATTTTTGTATTGTCTATGTGTCTTTAAATCAATATTTTAATCAACTTCATTACAATTGCTAGATAGATAATTCCTCTCATGTATAGAAAGCCTCACTATTTTTAGGTTCTTCTCAATAATTTCCCCTTTCCTTAGAGCAAATCTGTCCTTCATTCCAAATCATCCTCACACTGCTAGTGTTGACGTATATTTTTACATACCAAAATACATTTGTGTGGCCATAATCAATATTATTTAGTATTCTGTTTAATGGAATTAGCCTCAAAGAGACAGGAAAGACCCAAATTATTAGGTAGGTACATGCAATTATTTCTAGTTCTTTTCTCCCTCCCCCCACCTTACAATAACCTTCACTGCCAAAGCCTAGCAAATCATCTTTAATGTTAAACCCCTTATTACTTTGTTTCAGAGTTAGGATTTTCTTCCATTAAGAGCTAAATCTCAGGTGCCTAGGTGGCTCAGTTGGTTAAGTGTCTGACTCTTGATTTCAACTCATGATCTCAGACTCATAATCTCAGGTCATGAGATTGAGCCCCACATGGGGCTCAGTGCTCAGTGGGGAGTCTGCTTGAGATTCTCTCCCTCTGCCACTCCCTCCATGCCTGCACTCTCTCTCTCTCTCAAATAAATAAATAAAAATTTTTTAAAAGAGCTAAATCTCTTCTAATACAAAGTAACCAATTCTTTTTTATTTGTCCCTAACAGAGATGAAGAGTTACCCCCCACAGTAGTAATGACAAATCGTTAAACAGTACATTAAACTTTGTAATCAACAAAGTAATATTTGTACAAGACTTATGATTTACAAAAGCTTCCATGACATTATTACAGTTAAAATTTTAGATCATGACCTATATGTTGGAATTTGACTAGATAAAATGTTATCAAACCATTTTAATCCTTTCATTCCCTACCCCTGTAAGGCCCTTAGGAAACCACAGTCTTATACTTGGAGAGAATGTAAAGGGGGGTATGGGTTGGAAAGGTGTTAGGACTTGATTATACTCAACTCCAGAACCATGAAAACAATTTTTTAAAAAGATTTTATGTATTTATTCAAGGGAGAAAGAGCATGAGTGAGAGAGAGCATGAGCAGTGGGGAGGGGCAGAGGGAGAAGCAGACTCCCCACCGAGCAGGGAGCCTGCTTCTCCCTCTGACCCTCCCCCCTCTCATGCTCTCTCTCCCTCTCATTCTCTTTCTCAAATAAATAAATAAAATCTTTAAAAAAAAAAAAAGAGGAATTGAGGGCAGTGGCTTTTCTTAAGTATTGGGAGTAGGTCTGTATTTCAGCTCCTCTCTTTTCATGAGTATGTTAGACTTGTCAACATTGTTCTTACTCTATCCCTACTTTTGTGATTACAAAGCTGAGAATTTATTTTACTAAAACCAGTTGTCAATGATGTATCAAGAAACTCAGGACAGGGCGCCTGGGTGGCTCAGTCGTTAAGCATCTGCCTTCGGCTCAGGTCATGATCCCAGGGTCCTGGGATCAAGTCCCACATCGGGCTCCCTGCTCAGCGGGAAGCCTCCTTCTCCCTCCCCCACTCCCCCTGCTTGTGTTCCTGCTCTCGCTGTCTCTCTCTCTGTGTCAAATAAATAAATAAAATCTAAAAAAAAAAAAGAAACTCAGGTCATTCTTTTATGAATTAATTGCCAACATATCCAAATTGCTTGATTAAAAAAAATAATGATTGACATTTTTCAGTAAGCCATAAAATAGCTCTTGATGAGAGTTCCCACCCAGATCGAAATACAACTTGGAAGAATGGCCATAAATAAACAGAAGAGTTCACTATGGGCAAACTTCAAAGGTATGTATTTGAGTAAGAAGAAAAAAATTCTCAGTAGAGATTAGAACTTCAGGAAAAAACAAATCATCTTGTTGAAAAGCAAATATTTGTGGGTCTTGAAGCATATAAGATGGGGGGACCCTAATTAGGAAAAAGAATATAAAATTATGATTATAAAATTAGGTACAAAAGTTAATATTTGCTATGGACTTTGGATAATAATGATGTGTCAATGTGGGTTCATCAGTTGTAACAAAGGTACCCCTCTATGGGGGGACACTGATAATGGGAGAGGCTGTGCATGAGTGGGGGCAGAAATTACATGAGAAATCTCTATACCTTCCATTCCATTATGCTGTGAACCTAAATCTGCTCTAAAAGAAAATAATAAAGTCTACTAAAAATAGTTAATATTCATAATAATTATAATCACTATAGGTTTGTATACTACAAATGGAAGAATTCTAATAAATTTTATTTCCACGATTTCCAACAGGATTTTTTAAAACTATGGTACATTTATAATTGTATACATTGCATATTGAATATATTCCTACTAAGAGAGATTTTCCTTTTTGATAAGCCTCAATGAGAACCAAATCCTCTGCCTACAATTTTAACACCTACTGAGTGGAAGAATTTTCCATAGAGTAGTTTCTGGCTCTGTATATTTCAAAATATGTTT